TTTCCCTATGAAGTCGAACCTCATTCATTTTCTCGCTGTAAAAGGTAATTGGTCTACCTTCTTGGCTAAGCACCACTCCAATGCCTACAGGACATAAGGGCACTTCCAATACTTTTGAGAAATCGGGTATGGGCAATACATGGGCTGTTGAGATGGAGAAAACTACTTTATACTTTCTCGGTCCATTCGAACCGATCAATTTTGTTTCAGACAATTGGTGATTGGGGCTAGTTTTGGCTGCTAAATTTCTTGATGAAGCGCATGTAGAAAGTAGCTAGTTCATGGAAGCTTCAAACTTTCTTTGGTGTAGTAGGCCACTCAACTTTGCCACGGACATTTTCCTTGTCTACCTCAACCGATCCATCTAAGCTGATAACTTCTTTTTTTTTATTTGTTTTTTTCATGAACGAGCACTTCTTCAAATTGATATTCAATTTCTCCCATCGCAAGACTTCTGGTATGATTCAGGTGTTCATTCTAATCCATACTAACAATTAGAATGTTGACCAAATAAATGATAAAAAAATTTGCTTCTTCTTCGTAATTAAGCCGAAGCACCGGAATACCTGATGAAAGTACTATAGGGGTATTTGATAGGCCTCAAAAAGTCCCATCCCTCATCTTAGAGGCGGTTTTTCATTCATCCCTCGTTAGATTCTAATATGATGATTACAAATTCTCAGATCAATCTTTGAAAGTTTACGTGATCCAAACAACATATATAAGGGGAATCGATTTTTTTATTTTTTATTTTTGGTAATTTTGTTGAACTATCAACACACATTCGCTAGGTGCCATCCTTCTTTGAGGTCAATAGAGTAGACACAACACAAGGTTTGGAACCCTCTCCTTGAGGAGTTCCCGTACTCGCTAAACTGCCTACTTAATTCTTCATGCTCCGACGGACTCGTATGATTTGCAGCTTGATCCAGAAGAAAAATTTCTGAGATTAGATTGATATGATGTTAATAAATTTCACACCTTGCAACAAAAAAAAAAAAAATCCTTAGTTTTCATTAAATCTATGAGGACTTCCTTAGTCAACTAAAATAGAGACAGTATAGCTACGATCCCACAGGTAAAATTAAAGACCTCATCTTCCCTTCTCACTTATTCAATAGCTAAGCTAATTATAGGCAACAGCTATACTTTACTCGCTTTCCATCTTAGACAAGTTTAGCGCAGTAAGCTGGTTTGCTAACTCTCCTTCCGTCCTTGTTTAGTTTGAGCATTCCGAACTAGGCCAACTATTAGCTTAGTGCAACATATACCCATTATGATCGAGTAAGTTGACTTCTTTTCCTCTTTCTAGACAGACTTTTGTAGAATAAAATTCTCTATCTACGATACTAGTCGTAAACTTAACTCAGAGTTGGCACAAAAATGTCGTTGCTAATAGTAGTATATTTACGACGATATGTCGTCGCAATAAAGGAAACAAAATTTTTTGAATAATTTATCGTCACATTTAATATATGTGACGGCATGTCGTCGCACAAATTTATTTATTTGCGACGACATGTAGTTGCTAAAACGTAAGTCAAATATTAGCGACGACATGTCGTCGCGAATAATTATTGGCACAAAAACCAATCTAGCGCCAACATGTTTGGCGTCAGTTTGTCCCTTATTTGTGACGACATGTCATCGCTAATATTGATTTATACAGCTGGCAGTGACATGATCAAAAATGGCGGTTTCCCGAAAAGAACTTCCAGAAAATTCTTCATTTTTTGCGACGACATATTGAAATGTCATCGCAAATAAAAGTTCCATAAAATTCTTCCTAGATCGACTCTTTTTTGCGACGACGCATGTCAATTGTCATCGCAAATACTGATGGAATTTAATTTCCGAAATAAATGCAGAAACTTTGGTGGTTTCCCGAAAAATATTTGCGACAACTTTATTAAAAAGTTGTCGCAAAAAATGAGCATGGTATATTCCTCAAGAATATTCTCAGAAATATTAATGAGGTGAAAAAGAGCGACATTGTTTTGGAATTAATTGCGACAACATTTAATATTTTTGCGACGACAAAAGGCCACCTGTATAAATGCGATCGCATAACTCTTTCCTCCATTCTTTCCGGTGACGTTCTTGGGTTTCTCTCTCCCTCTCCATCCAAAACCTCTAAAAACCGTCCAAAAACTCTGAAAAAAAGCTTAAATAATCATTCTCTCTTCAAGTCTTTCATTTGTGGAGAAAAATATTCCGAAAAAGTCCAAAAAGTGGAGTTTTCACCTCGCCATCGCCACCCACTTTTCCGGTTGTCGTCGTCATTTTCCGGCCGCTGTCGCCCTCCCAACCCTACTGCCATACCGTTTTCCAACCCCGGTGTTTATGGGTTTGGATTTTTTAAGTTAATATTTTGGTATTTTGTAAATTGATTATGGTATTTTGGTTGTAGTCTGTGGTTTTGTTTTGGATTTTGAACTTAGTTTGTGGTTTTAGATTTAGAATTGTGAATTGTAAATTAGAATTAAAATTGTAATTTAAGGTAATTAGATTGAAATTTGTATGAAATTTGTTTGATGATGATTATGTGATGGTGATTAAAAAATAGGCGACCTATGGAAATATTAAGAAGTTAAAAATAATGAATTATATATATGATGATTAAAAAATTTAGATGGAAATTTTAATTAGTATTATATTAATAATTAAAAAAATTAAAAATAAATATTATAAAATAGTTAATAGAATGTTAAAGACATATTAGAAAATAATTTGTGTTAATTTTTATAAAATTTGATAAAACTTTATAAATTCTTTGTAGTGGAGATGCCTATGGACAAGAGTTGGATACATTTAAGGAACCGATTGTCTGATGAGATTGGTATGGTTGTGTGCTTTTATTGAGGTTGGAAAGAATTATGCAATTTCAACCGGGGGTATTAACTGTCCATGTATCATCTACAGCAGAAGCGGTTAACAAGGAAGATATTATAAAGCAGGTTCTGGGCACCCGTAAAGGACACAAGACTGGACTGGGTCGAAAACTCCCACAAAGGGTTTATCAAGGGGATACTTCGTCATTTGGCTCACGCTCGGCATGATTTTCTACGACACGTTCAGACCCACACGTAGAAGAATACTTACAATGGAGTTACCAGCAAGAATACTTATGTAGAAGAATATATGTACGAGAGCTTTAGAAGGACGCAGTTTTTGATGGCTCAAATGCACCCCAAAATTTAGTTCCCATCGGTTACTCCTCTCGTGCTGTATGTCCGTCCAGGTCCTCCGCCTCTGAATCCTTCTGATGATAACGACGATGATTTCAGTGACGCTGCTAATTTAGGAGATTAAATTTTTATTAATATAATAATTTATATTTTCGTACATTTTATAATTACTTTCTACTATAATTACATTTTTATTTTATTTTATTAATACTCAGAAAATTTATTTTTATTTTTATTTTTATATTACTTATATTTCTTTTAATCAATTCTTCTTTATTATTATAATATCATGAATTATTAAAATTATTATTATAATATCATGAATTATATTTAATATTTGGTTTAAATGTATAGTAATAGACAACATTAATTATTAAAATGAGAAAAAATAAAAATACTATTTCGACATTATTTGATGCGATGTCAACTAATTTGACATTATTTATGACGACGTAATTTATAAATTGTCGTCACAAATAATTAATACCATATCATCTTGACGATGCAATCGATAACATAATTACAACGACTCATTTGGGACGATTTGTCGTCGCAAATGTATTTACGACGACGACTTGTCATCTCAAAAAAGAATTTACGACAAATCAATTACAGCAACATTTTTACAATGACTTTGGATTTTTTGTAACGACTTTTAGTCGTCGCTAATAACGCTGTTTCTTATAGTGGGTATGATAAATAGTTAATTGTAGTTTGAATCAAATCTAGTTTGAATTAATTATTCAAGCACGCAAAGGAAAAGTACTCAAAACTTTCATCAACTTCAAAACGCAATATAAGGAAAAGTACTCTCAAAGTACGTACAGATAGAGGTAGAGACGGAGATTTTATTTCATGAAATTAGCATATCATCACATGATGTATTACAAAAGACACATAATTTCAAACGACATGGAGTAATTAAAAGACATCCGAAAGAGTTGGGAGCTTGATCTCTCCTTTCCTGGATAGGGGAATGGTAATGTTACCAACAAGAGGAAGGTCAATTATGAGATCCAACAACAGCTCATAGTCGATGTCCCAATCTCTGCCAACATCCTTTATCAAGGTCACCAACAGGCTGTGCGGCACCTTCACTGGCACCTCCACCAGAGTCGTGTCCTTCGCCTTCAGCGACCCCGGGTCCGGAATTTTACCGGAAGCTATCACACTGCCATTTTGCAAACATTTTCAATCCATAACTTTCCTTACTATCTCACACGAAATTTAAAGATAATAGTTTGGAATATATATATATATATATATATATATATATATATTCACTGGACAATGGTGTGGAATTAGAAACTTTTCCACATAAATTTCTTTTTTCAACAAGGAAAGACAAAATAAATGGGAATATAATTAGAATATCTACCGTATATAAAATTGACGTGGTATATAAAATTATTTTCATTAAAAATATATAGGTCCAAAACCGGATGGGTAGAGTCTCTCTAGCCTGGTCTATGGGTGTGTTTCGTCTTGCCTGAGTGCTTGGCTCTAGTAAATTTTCTGCTCGAGTGTTTTCTTGTACGGTTTTTTTTTTTTTGTTCTTTTTACAATCGATGTTTTGTTATGGAGGAACTAATGGAAGAGTGGAGATCGTTATCAATTACAGAGACTGAGGGTGATGTGATTGGTATTTGCAAATGATCCTAACTCGACGACCGTATAATAAACGAGCCTTAAAAGGATTTTTTAAACAAATTTCTGGAGGGTTTCAGCATTCGTGACATTGCTCTAAATGTTTTTCTATTCTTGGAGATCGAAGAGATCTTGAGAAGGTGTTGTCAATGGAACCTATCTCTTTCAATAAATCATTGATTGTTCTTAAGGAGTTCGATGGTTCATCCCTTCGGGATCCGGGGGATTTTCCGTTTTACTCGCTTTTGGGTTTAAAGTTCATAACTTTAACTCTTGATGGTTTTTTTGAGAAGATAGATCATGTCATTGGAGACGGTATTGGGGTTTGTAAGAAGGTGGAAGCGGATGAGAGTGGCCGCTGCATTGGCACGTATATGAGGATTCGTCTTCTCATTGACGTGTCCACATATGAGACCATAAATCACTAGAACCAGATATAATTCTGAAGGCATCAGTTGGACGTCGAGTTTAAAATATGTGACACAAACATTATGACTCCATAAAAACTTATATAAATCATACATATATAACAAATACAATAATGATTAGGAGACAAAAGCTTTTTATAGTTTTATCTTAAAAAAATTAAAAGATGTAAAAAGAAAAGGGGTTGATCTTGATCCAAATTACCTCCCGGCGCTTTTGAGGGTGTAATCGATGTCACAGATGGGAATGGAATGGCCATAGGGATTGTCCACAGAAAGCTTCGCCAAATACTCAACAGAGTCCACACTCACGCGCTTCAAATCCATGTCCGTAAGACTCGCCTCCGGCGTCTTCACGTTCGCCACTTTCTCCGCAATAAACGTCGTCGCCTTGTCTATAAACTGCGACATGTTTTTTTTTTTTTTCTTTTTCAGACACACAAACCAGAAGAAGAAGAATAGATAAGAAAGTGATTACACAAGTTTTATTTAGCTTATGAAGAACAATCAATTATGAGATTGGCAATTGGTTAGTACGTATATAATATATATGTGGAGTCATTGTGTTTTTGACACGTCTCGTATGGCGAATCCGCAGTCATGACACGTGACGCCATACGTGTCGCACGTGATTTTCTTCCGCGTTTACAGATCTGTGATTGGGACCAAAAGAAGAAGACTTGAGATTTTACGATTTTTTCCCCCTTTTTTTTTTGAAGAAAGAAGATTAAAATAAGATTATTATTAGTGGTGTCATCTGAATTTTAGTGTCTATCTTTAGTTTTTCCTTTTTAAAATTTGAACGAAGATTAAAATAGGATTATTATTATTGTGTCTTTTAAATTTTAGAATTATTTAGAATTTATCTTTTTAAAATTTTAAAAACTCTCATATTATTTTTTAAATTTTAAATTATTTTCACTAAACCTATTTTGATGCAACTTTTGTTAAAAACAAATAGGAGAAAGAGAATATTGTACTCACGTGATTTTTCTATTTAAATTTATGTTGCAATTAAATGGATAGAACCACATTGCCACATTTAATCATTTATTTTTCCATCTTATTTTAATAAAAATTATTATAAAAACACTTAAATAAGAAAATTTCAAAATTTACAAAGAACATAAGAGTTTTTAAAATTTAAAAGACAAAGTGTGAATGACACTAAAATTTAGAGATACCAATAGGATTTGTTCTTCTAATTATTAGAGAAGAATTGGGGTGATTATTTGCGGGGTTACAAATTGCGGGTGGCAGTATTTTAGCGCAAAAACTACAGCTTTTTATCTTATTATAAAGAGTTTGACTTTTAAATTTGCTTCCGACAAAGTTTCTGGGAATTAACCTAAATCATATAAGTTGAATATATGTTCAACAAATTATTCGGTGTCTGTTATTGGAGAGAGAACTCAACATCGCGTCTAAACAAAGGAATAAGGTTCTTTCTTTCTAGGCGAACCCACCCCCTTTTTGACTTTTAAGCTAAAAGCTATCGACGAAAAATAAATTATTTTAAAGAATATTTTTAGCATTTAAAAAACATAAATTTATGCTTTGTTTAGAGCTTCTGAAATGATTTAGCATTTAAAAAACTTAAATTTAATTATGCTTTGTTTGGAGCTTCTGAAATGATTAAAATATTTTTTATAAATTATATCAGAGTATTTTCTTTTATATTTTTTTCTTATTTTCTTTCATTATCAAAGCAAAGGAAAAATTTATAAGTACACTTGTAACTTTTAAAAATAGAATAATTAAGATGAAAATAAAAGTACGAAGAATACTTGTATAATCAACTTATAATAAAATGAATTGCTTCAATTTTCTAGATAGCTTGAAGCAATTCCACCCAGATTTTATATGTTAATGGACCATTACATTGCTTCTCTCTCTGTTTTCTTTTTTTTTTTCTTTCCTTTTTGGTGTGAGAATTTGACGATTATGGAGTTTAGATAAATAGACTTAACTCAGATTAAATTAATAAAAAATGGTATAAAAGAGATCTTATATCCCAAAAAATAACCTCATAATATCGAAAAGATTTTTTTTTAAATGTGAAGCTATCATTTTAATATTTTTAAAAAGACATGGCGCATTCGAGATGTTTCGATATTATAACAAAGAGTACTAAAATGATCTTATTTTATATAAAAAAAAGGGAATAAAGCAGCACATAAACAAATACATCAACTTGGCATGGATTGGATGTTAAAAAGGGAGAAAAGGAAAATTAGAAGATTAAGACTGTTGAATTTTTATGTGAAAAAGAGCTAAATAAAATTCAAAAGAAGCAAACCCTATTTCTAGTTCTAAACTTGAAATTTGGATTTTATTCCTTCCTCAATCTCTAGTCCTCACATGATAAGGTTTCCTTATTTTGCGTCTTTTAATTCATGTAAGACCTTTTGCATTTTTTTTTTTTCAGTTATGTCGTATAACCTTTTTTTAATGAATTTGAAGAATGTTTAAATTTGGATTTACCATAGTGATGATTATAGTGGTGGTGGCAGCTGCGTAGATGAACGGGACTGATGGAAGTTGGGGCCGGATTTTTGGACGATGAGGCTATCCATAGTGGATTTCCAACGATTTGTAACCTTGAGATCTCACTGATCTCCTCGTTGCAGTAGTTATAGAGGTCAAGGTTGTGTATGGATGGGCGTTTAGTGCTAGTAGTGTAGTCATGTAGGTCTTCGTCGATGTCATGTTCGCGTCTTATGGTGGTGTTTAGCGTATAGTTTACATTGGTGTCATGCTAGTGCTTTTTAGTGGTCGAGTCGCGTAGATCCTTACCGATCTATCCTCTATGGCCATGTTGCTATGCTTATTGTCAATAATCTTGTTCTTGTGGCTAGAGAATTAATCTTCTGCTTATTGTCAATCTTGGCATGTTGGCATGTTTTTAGTTTTATTTTAATGTAACTAAGGCAATGTTGATTTTGTCCTTTCCATCTCTTTGTGTGATTTTGCAGTGTTTATGATTTTATTGTGTACTAATGAGAGAAGCCTCATCGTTTTATGTTGGTGCTGGTGGTGGTTAGTGTAGTCTGATAGGTTTGATCCTATGAGATGATGTGAGTGACCCTAGTACTCTGAACCCTTTAATTTTAGTTGACTAGACTTATTCATTGACTATAATGGTTCAATTGAAAGAGCATTTATTGTGCTTGATATTTTTTTGTTGAGCTGAATTTCTATTGTTGAATCTCGACATATGTATTTACTTTTACGCTTCATACAAATTTACTGGTATATCTAGTCATTATTCAGAGTCGAATAACCTTCTACTATCCAGTTATTTTCATTTGTTTGTGTCTCCATCCTTATTTTTAGAATGATATTTACCCTTTCAATAAATAAAGGAAGGAAAAAGGGAAGCAAACCACAGTGCTAAAATGAAAATGTGTTGTTGTGTTAAAACAATTTAAAAAATATATAGAGCAATATAACCTATAGAAACTCGCATCTAAAAATTATAAGAATAATTAATGTACTAAAACTGAACAATATATTTTATTGGCATTAGAAACTTTCTAAAGTTAAACAAATCTAAAAAAAAAAATCAAAAATCAAATTTTAAAATCCAAAATAATAATAATTTTATTAATTTTTTAGTCGATTAATATTTTTACTGCTCTATTTCTAAAGTGCACGTATGTGGGACTTGTTAGCAACTGAAATCACATGTATTAAGCAGAGCATATAATGGTGGAGAGTAATCGCGTGTTAAGTTTTAATTACCGTGTTATTATTAAAAGCATATAACATCTTAATATAAAATCTTAAAAAGAAACTAAAATTAAAAAAATAAAGTTTTGAAGAAACAAATTAGTTTTAGGACAAAATGCACCAAAACAGTAAAAAAAAAAAAAAGTTTTAGAGTAAAAATTAAAAAAATGAGTCAAAAAAAGACCAAAATGAAGAGATAAATAAGTTTTAGGGCTACAGAAACCAAAACGGGAAAAGAAATTTAAAATTCCAGGAAAAACAATAAAAAATGGTCAAAATGGACTAAAATGAAGAAATAAATAAGTTTTAGTACAAAATTGACCAAAATGATACGATAAAGTTTCAGGACAAAAATAAAAAAAGGTCAAAAAGATAAAAATGAATAAATAAATAAGTTTTACGACAAAAGGAACTAAAGTGGAAAAAATAAAATTTTAGAACTAAAATAAAAAAAAGGTAAAAAAGGACTAAAATAAAGAAATAAATAAGTTTTAAGGCAAAAAGTAGCTAAAACAAAATAAAGTTTCAGTGAAAAATAAAAGGAATGATAAAAAAATGACCAAAATGAAGAAATAAATAAGTTTTAAGACAAAAAGAATCAAAACAAAAGAAGAATAAATTTCTGGGCAAAAATAAAGAAATATCTAAGCAGACTAACATCTAAAGAAAATAATTTGGGTAAATGAAAGAAAAAAGTTAAAAAGAAAGCCAACGAAGAAAAAATACAAAATTCTGGAGAAAAAAAACTGAAGAGTGTTTACACCATTCAAGGAACAGTGTTTTTGATCAAAATTGTGTGTTTTCATCGAAAAATTGTTCCTTTGAACATTATTTATTGATCTTTAAATATATACTAGTTGAAGTTAATGTGCTACAGACGTTAGGAGTAATCTGTGTGCTAAGTTTTATTAAGTATGAAAAAAATTATGTTAATATGAGTAAGGTAATGCAGAAAGTGCATTTTAAAATAACACAAGAGAATCAAATTAGAAAAATACATACATTAAAAAATAATAGTTGTAATTAAATAAGGCGTAGAGCCATAGAGAGAGAAAAATATTGTATATCAAAATAAAATTTTCTAAAATAAAGTCTTAGAAATCAGACACATTTAAAAATATATAAAATTTGAATATAAAATCCTAAAAAGGAACTAAAATAAAAAATAATAAAGTTGTAAATAAGAAGTAAAAAAAAAAGATAGCGAAGTGAAAAATAAATAATTTTTAACGCAAAAGGAACCAAAATGAAAGAAAAATAAAGTAGGAATCAAAATGAAAAAAAATTAAAGTTTTAGGGCAAAAAGTAAAAGAAAAAGTCAAAAAAGGGGCCAAAATAAAAAATAAATAAATTTTAGGATAAAAAGAAAAGAAAGAACGAAAAAAAAAAAAGAGAAGGGGGGCTGTTTTGAGCCAAAACGTTATATTGTTTATAGATGTATAGATATATCTACTATCTATTATAAAATAAAAATGTGATGAAGCAATCAGCTATTGATCAATTTTTTTTTCATTTTTGTTCTTTACCTTTTCTACATTTTCCTTACTTGTTATCTATTTTTTTCTCTTATTTAAAGCTTAAGAAAAAATTATTTAGCTTTTATTTTCATTTATGCACTTTACTTTTCATAATTTTTTACTTATTATATACTATTTTCTCTTACTTAGAGCTTAAGAAAAAACAGTTTAATTTTTGTTTCCATTTACGCCCTTCATCTTTTATATTTTTTACTTGCTATTGTTTTCTCATACTTAAAGCTTAAGAAAAGA